ACACGTCTGTTTCTGTTACTACGACTCTGTGGTATAACATGAAATCAAGTCGGCAATGCCACCATCATTGTTCTTTTTGCTCAGGTTGCTTTGGCTGTCAGATCTTTTGTGCTTCCATATGAATTTTAAGATGTGGCTTCTATTTCTGTGCAGAATGGCATTAGGATTCACTGAACCTATAGATTGCTTTTGGTTTTCTTGCTGTCTGTCCTTCTGATCCACAAGCATGAGATGTCTTCACATCTTCCAGGGTTTTCTTTAATTTGTCCTTTCAGCATTTTAAAGTTTTCAATGTGGAAATCTTTACATCGTTAACTGGGGTTATTTTAAGGCAATTGTGAATGGAATTGTGTCACACGAATTGCTAAATGGTCTTATTAATAAAAAACCCAGATCCAGATATTGGGATAAAAGTTGAAAGATCAGAGAGGCAGAGCAGCAAGCCACCAGTTCTTACCCCTATGAAATCCTCTGCCGAAAGAGAGTGAGCTCCTCTCTCCACCCTGCCTTATCACTGTCTCTCTCTGCCCAGATCTATCACTTCCTGTCTGTCTGTACAGACCTCCAGACCTCTACAGTTAACTAGTGGCTAGTTCCTCCTTCTGATTTTCAAGCAAGGTTTATTTGTTAGAGGACAAATAAAATATCACCACAGAATTATTTCCTTCCTTTCATTTTCAGCCAGTTTGTCACGAGTGTACAGGTAGGCCACTGTTTGTTTTGTTTTTAATCCTGTCACTTAGCTGAAGCATGTTCACCAGTTCTTGAGTTTCCTGGTGGAGTCTTTAGGTCTCCACTGAAGAGTAGCAGCATCTGCAAATAAGAATACTTCATTGCAGTGAATCACGGGGTTGCTCTGGTCCAGCTGCCTCAAGAGGCACTTGTCATAGGTTTTTCGAGTTGGAGTTCATGGCTCCTGGGACACTGTGCTGTACTTTCCAGTTCCTGAGAAACCAAGACACTCCCACAGGCAGTGGAGCATTCAGGCCACTTGTGCGTCTCTGTTCTTCCTTATAAGTCAGTGAAGCATCTAGAAACTTGGCAGAGCAATTAGTATTAGACATTAATTTTATGATAGCAGTTTGCAACTGTCATTATATTCTAACAACTGCCACTGTATCCTGCTTCATAAGTGTATAAAAAGTCTGGTCACTTGAAATAAACCTGCCTCAGCCTCAGTCTTGCTGAGACTCCTCCAACCTAGCCTGACTTTCATTCCACTGACCATATCAGGAGACTCTGGTTTACTGTGGATATCACTCTGTATTAATAAAATGCTGACTGGCCAGTAGCCAGGCAGGAAGTATAGGCGGGACAAGCAGAGAAAAGAATTCTAGGAACAGGAAGGATGAGTCAGGAGACGCCAGCCTGCCATCCAGGGAGCAGCATGTAGAGGCAACAGGTAAAGCCATGGAGCACGTGGTGACATATAGATTAACAGAAATGGGCTGAGTTTAAGTGTAAGAGCTAGACAGTGGTAGGCCTGAGCTAATGGCTGAGCAGTTTAATTAATATAAGCTTCTGAGTGATCATTTTATAAGTGGCTGCGGGGTCTGTGGGGCTGGGCAGGATTGGAGAAAACTTCAGCTACACTGGTTTGGTAAGTGAGCACTGGTGCTTACCGGTGATGCCAGAGACCTGAACTATGGGAACTGAAGAATAAGGAAAAGAAAAAGTTAAGGTGGTGGACTCTTGGTAGTGGTGCACACACAAGTATGATAAAGCAGGAGATTAATCCATTGCAGATACAAAGGGGACAGGCAGGGTCAAAGGAGCGACGTTTGTTTGCAGAAGTTTTGCAAACTTCATTGCGGGCAGAAGGGGTTGAAGCGAGACACCATCAGCTGATGAAACTCCTGGAGTTCGTTAGCAAACTTCAGCGTTCTTTCCCAGAAGAGGGGTCTCTGGATCCCAGAGCTGGGTCCCAGCTAGAAGGAGTAATTCAGGGAGAATTAGATGCGAGAGGGCCAGAGAAAATTCCTAGTGAATGCTTTTCAGTTTTGGAAAGAAACAAACAAACAAAAAAAAATGATTGATAAATGTGACACAGTTAAAATTAAAAGCGAAAGTGATCAGGAAAAGGTGGAACTAAGACTGGGAATAGAAGGAAAGTTAGAACCTGAAGACATAGTGTCCACTTTCTCTGTGATGAAGTCGGCTGTCACCCGCCTTGGGCTGATCCTGCCCTTCCCTGTCCTGCTCTATTCCCTCTGCTCCTGATGCCTATCCATCCAGTGTATTTCCTGCTAACATGGAGACTTTTCACTGCTTTGCTTCTTCATCTCTTACTGAGGTTATTAAGGAAGTTCTTTGACCCCTGATGGAAGAATTAGTCCCTTTTAAACCATGATATAGGTATCTGATGCAAGGACTCTGGAGAGGGGAGGCGACATGGGAGGATCTCTCTTTTCCCAGTGAATGAAATACCTGATCCTAGTAACTCAGGGCAGTGAGTTAAAACTTATATACCCATTTTACTTAAGACTCTTAAGGATCTTAAGCAGGCATATGCTCAACATGGGCCAGCTGCTCCCTTTACATTGTTTCTCGTTGATTCTATTTCTGGGGAACTTTTTTTCCTTCTTACTGGAGAATCTTAGCAAAAGCTTGTCTTACTAGGGGTGAATATTTACTGTGGAGGACTGACTATTCAGAAAAATTTCAGGGCCAACCTATTAGAAATCAACAAAATAATGTGCTTATAACTTTCGAGATATTAGTAGGAGAAGGCAAAGTATGGTGATACTCAATGACAGATTACATATATTCCTGAGGCTTATAGACAAATAAATACTTTGGCCCTGCAAGCATGGTGTAAGTTGCCAGATTTTGGAAGAAAGACAGAGGAACTTTTAAAATTAGACAGAGGCCTGATGAGTCATATCAAGATTTTGTTTCTCATCTTTTGCAGGTGGTTAGTCACCTGATGGCTGATGGAGAGGTAGGGGATCTTATTGTCAAGCAACTGGCATATGAGGATGTTAATGCCACATGCCAGACTGCCATCCATCTCTATTGAAAGAAAGGAGATATTAATGACTCCATCTGCCACTTTGTTTTTGTATACTAAAGGGTTATCTCTGGCTGCAAGGGCCTTTTCTGCATTCTGCTGAAAATAACAGAATTCTGGAAGATTTGTTTGCTGAAGTAAAAATTGGATTAACTCATTATGGATTGATTATAGCTCCTGAGAAAATTCAACATACTACTCAAATCTTATATCTAGGAAAGTTGATAAAGTCTTCAGCAATTGCTCCTCAAAGGGTAGAAGTCAGGGAAAACACCTTAAAAACTCTAAATGGTTTCTAAAAACTTCTAGGGGAGTTGAATTGGGTTAGACCTAGTTAAAAATTCCCACACCACAACTGTAGCCTTCATTTGATGTTCTTAAGGGGAATCATAATCCTCATCTCCTAGAGAATGGACTGAGCCTGTGTGTATAGCATTACAGCGTGTGAAAAATGTATGGAGGGATGCTCAGCTTCAGCGTGTCTGAAATCCCTGTGCTGTTCCTTCATTGCTAATTATCCCTTCTCCCAACATCTTCACAGTGTTGCTCTGGGACAAGAGACCAAGATATTTCTGGGATGAGAGACACATCTTACTATTAGCCCAAACAATGTTATCACTCCCTATTGGCTTCTGGTTACTTGATAATTCTGGCCAGGTCTCACACAGAGCAACTATTTGGACAACAGCCACCAAAAATTTGTATTCCTTATGATAAAAATGCTGGAATTTTTGATGAGTACTTCAGATGAGTCAACACTGACTTTTTCTGTATATCCTTTTCAAATTGATAATTACTTTTCTTACAGCAAGCTTACTGATTTTGCATCAAAATATGCTATTTTATTTCCTAAAAGTACAAAGCTTCAGCGGATGCCCTCTACAATGTAGTATTTGTAGATGCCACAAGAGACGGTAGGGTGCCCTGGTTTCTAAAGCTGCTTCATTGATTTTTACTCACTCAGGTGCTTCTGTACAACAGATAGAATTATGCATAATTTACATTGCTTTACACCATTACCCTCAACCTATGAACTGATTTTCTGATTCACAATATGCAGTCCTGGCAGTATAGCATCTAGAAACAGAATGGATCCCTTCCCTAGGCACCTCTATCCATGATTTATTAATTCAACAGGAATTGTAGATGTAGAAAATCCAGATTATTTTGGCCATATTAGGTTACAGTCTAATCTTCTAGGACCTTTGTCTGAAAGTAATGCAAGGCAGATTTCCCTTGAGAGCTCTCTTTTCCTAGGATCTAACAACCTAAGGGAAGCATGAAAGCCTCATGCACACTTTCATCCATATGACTCAGCACCTATAAAAATGTTCTTCACTAATTCAAGAGCAGCCGATTCAAGAGCAGCCGCACTGGATATTTAAGCAATGCCCTTCACGTGTAAGAGTTAATATCATGCCTCTACCCTCTTATGTCATGACTCCCAAAGGATTATTGACAAGTCATATGTGGCACATTCATGTCCCCAGTGTTGGGAAGTTAAAATATGGTCATGTCATTGTGGACACTTATTCATTGCTCATTTTTCTGTTTATCAGGAGAAGCAGTTAAAAGAAGTTATCATCTTTTGACCCAGGGCTTTTGCTATTTTAGGCCCCTGAAAAGTATTGAAAACTGATAATGGTCCTGCATACACTGCCAAGCCTTTTCAGAAATTTTGACATTATGCTGTAACCCACACCACAGGTACTTCATATAACTCTCAGGGTGAATCTATGTGGAAAGAGTTGATTGACAACTTAAGTATTATTCAGAAATAAAGGAGGAGGAAAGGCTATTCCTCATGATATTTTATCTTCTGTTTCATATACTTTAAATTTTTTTAAATTTGGGCAAGGATGGCCTTCCTGCTGCAGAACATTTTGGGGACCCCTCCAAAACAATTCAGGGTCATGGTCCTTTGGAGAGACATTATGTCAGGCCAATGGAACACACTGGAACTGAGGCTATGATTGTGTTATTTCCTCAGGGTGCTAGAAACTGATGTGGATATCTGAAAGACTGACTACCTGTGGAAGATGTACAAAGAGGTTCAAGAATGTCTAGAGAGACTTCACCTGAACAAAAGAAAGCAAATGGGGTGATTTTGAACAAGGAAAAAATTTGGCTTGATGTATGTGTCCTTTAAAGAAGATGGTTGGGATGTGGACTTGGAATTCATCGGTTTGTATGTGAAAGGCATATTTGCATATGACTTGTTTATTCACTCTGGGAATTAACTAACTGTGTTAGAAACAGTCTCTCTAGCCTGCAAGAACCCCAAATGTCAAAACATCATAAAATAAAAAAAGGCTTATTCCAAGTTCTTACCGTATAATGACCATGTGTTCATTTATAGTTAGTTCGATCTACCTTTGCTGATCAAATTTCCACAAGGAAGAATTCCTCTTAAAGTGACCAAAGCAATCAGAACATACCAAGAAATGTTATGTAACAACATAGTATTAGGAGAAAGGATAGCAAGTATATCCCCAGCAACCATTCAGCAGGCAAGCCACCTGCTGTCAGGCTACTCCACCATCCCCAGCAGCATCAGAGGACCCTGGAGGCACAGGCTCCACCTGTACCAATTGGAGGAAGAGTGGCTGGCCTCCAGAGGAACAGACACCACATGCACCAATTAGAGGAAGAATCAACACTTGTACCTATAACTACCCCAAACCCAGATGGGTAGACAGCAGTGTAAGAACATTCAACAACATAAAGAGCAATGTGGCACCACCAGAACCCAGTGGTCCTACAACAACAAGACCTGGACATCCCAACGCAGATGAAACAGAAGAAAATGACCTAAAAAATAACTTTATGAAGATGATAGGGACCCTTAAAGAGGAAATGAAAAATGCCCTTAAAGAAATGAAGGAGAAGAAAAAACAAAAAATTGGAGGAAATCAATAAATCCCTTAAAGAAAGCCAAGAAAAAACAATCAAACAGGTGAAGGAAACAGTTCAAGATGAGGCAATAAAGAAAGCACAAACCAAGGAAATTCTGGAAATGGAAAATCTGAGTAAATGAACAGGAACTACAGATGCAAGCATAACCAACAGAATACAAGAGACGGAAGAGAGAATTTCAGGCAATGAAGATATGATAGAGGAAATAGATTCATCGATCAAAGAAAAAGTCAAATCCAACAAATTCTTAACATAAAACATCCAAAAAATGGAGACATCATGCAAAGACCAAACCTAAGAACAATAGGGGCAGAAGAAGGAGAAGAATGCCAGCCTAAAGGCACAGAAAATATATTCAACAAAATCATAGAAAAAAACTTTCCCAACCTAAAGAAGAACCTGCCTATGAAGATACAGAACACCAAATAGACTGGACCACATAATAAACAAAAAACTAAGCATACAGAATAAAGGAAGAATATTAAGAGCTGCAAAGGAAAAAGGCCAAGTATAAAGGCAGACCTATGAGAATTTCACCTGACTTCTCAATGGAGATTCTGAACACCAGAAGATCCTGGACAGATGTTTTGTAGACACTAAGAGACCATGAATGCCAACCCAGACTATTATACTTAGCAAAACTTTCAATCACTATAGATGGAGAAAACAAGATATTCCATGACAAAACCAGATTTAAATAATACCTAACCACAAATCTAGCCCTACAGAAAGCATTAGAAGGAAAACTTCAACTGAAGGAAGTTAGCTATACCTACTAAAACACAGGCAATAGATAATCTCACACCAGCAAATCCCAAAGAAGGGAAACACACACACACTACCACCAAAAGATAATAAGTGTAGCTGGAGTTTTCCTGCCTGGCCCACAGTCAGGATAAATCTCTCTCACCTGCCAGTCCCACAGCCGCTCAGACCCGACTAAGTAAACACAGAGACTTATACTGGTTACAAACTGTATGGCCATGGCAGGCTTCTTGCTAACTGTTCTTACAGCTTAAATTAATCCATTTCCATTAATCTATACCTTGCCACATGGCTCGTGGCTTACCAGCATCTTCACATGCTGTTTCTCATCGTGGCGGCTGGCAGTGTCTCTCTGACTCAGCCTTCCACTTCCCAGCTTTATTTTCCTCCTTGTCCCGCCTACACTTCCTGCCTAGCCAATGGCCAATCAGTGTTTTATTTATTGACTAATTAGCAACACATTTGCCATACAGAACATTTCACAGCAAATAAGAATTAGCAATTACTGGTCATAAATACCTCTTAACATCAATGGACTCAATTTGCCTATAAAAAGACACAGGCTAACAAAATGGGTACAAAAACAAGATCCATCCCTCTGCTGCATACATGAAACACACTTCAACTCCAAAGACAGACATTAACTCAGAGTAGAGGGTTGGGGAAAAATTTTCCAATCAAATGGACCTAAGAAACAAGCTGGTGTAGCTATCCTAATATCTAATAAAAATAGACTTCAAGCTAAAATTAGCCAAAAGAGATGGAGAAGGACATTTCATATTCATCACAGGAAAAATCCATCAAGATGAAGTCTCAATTCTGAACATTTATGCCCCAAATACAAGGCACCTACATTTGTAAAAGAAGCATTGCTAAAGCTTATATCAAACATCAATTCCCACACACTAATAGTGGGAGATATCAACACCCCACTCTCACCAACAGACAGGTCTGCCAGACAGAAACTTAACAGAGAAATAAGGGAACTAACAGACATTATAATTCAAAAGGACTTAACAGACATCTATAGAACATTCCACTCAAACACAAAAGAATATACCTTGTTCTCAGCAACTCATGGAACCTTCTCTAAAACTGACCACATACTCAGTAACAAAGCAAACCTCAACAAATACAAAAAAATTAGATTAACCCCCTATATTTTATTGGATCACTATGGCTTAAAGTTAGAATTCAACAACAACACAAATTACAGAAAGCCTACAATCTCATAGAAACTGATGGTGGCATATGCTTGTAATCCCAACTCTTGGGAGGCAGAGGCAGGCAGATCTCCATAAGTTAGAGGCCAGCCTGTTCTACAGAGTGAGTTCCAGGATAGCCACAGTGGGTACATAGAAACCCTGCCTCAAAAAACTGAAAAGAGAGAAAGAGAAAGAGAAAGAGAAAGAGAGAGAGAGAAAGAGAGAGAGAGAGAGAGAGAGAGAGAGAGAGAGAGAGAGAGAGAGAGAAACTGAACTGAATCACCACCGGGTCAAGGAAGAAATAAAGAAAGAAATTAAAGACTTCCTAGAATTCAATAAAAATGAATGTACAACATTTCCAAACTTTTGGGACACTATGAAAGCAGAACTAAGAGGAAAATTCATAGCAGTAAATGCCCACATAAAGAATTTGGAGAAATCTCACACTAGCAACTTAACAGAACACCTGAAAGCTCTAGAACAAAAAGAAACAAACTCATCCAGGAGGAGTAAATGACAGGAAATAATCAAATTGAGGGCTGAAATTAATAAAATAGAAACAAAGAGAACAATACAAAGAATCAATGAAACAAAGAGTTGGTTCTTTGAGAAAATCAACAGGATAGACAAACACTTATCCAAACTAACCAAAAGGCAAAGAGAGAATATCCAAATTTACAAAATCAGAAATGAAAAAGGGGACATAATAGCAGATACTGAGATGATTCAGAGAATCATCAGGTCATATTTCAAAAACCTGTACTCCACAAAATTGGAAAATCTAAAAGAAATAGACAATTTTCTGAATAGGTACCATTTATACTAAAATTAAGTCAAGACCAGATAAACAACTTAAATAGACCTATAACATCCTCCCCCCAAAATAGAAATATTTATTAAAAGTCTTCCAATCAAAAAAAAAGACCAGATGGTTTCAATTCTACCATAATTTTAAAGAAGAACTAATACCACTACTCCTCAAATTGTTCCACATAATAGAAACAGAAGGAACATTGCCAAACTCTTTTTATGAGCCTATAGTTACCCTGATAGCCAAATTACACAAAGATGCAACAAAGAAAGAGAATTACAGACCAATCTCCCTCATGAACATTGATGCAAAAATATTCAATAAAATACTGGCAAACAGAATCCAAGAACACATCAAAAAAAAAAATCACCCACCATGATCAAGTAGGCTTTATCCCAGAGATTCAGGGATGGGTCAACATACAAAAATCTGATAGAAAAATAAAACACATAATCATTTCATTAAATGTTGTAAAAGCCTTTGACAAAATCCAAAACCCTTCATGATAAAGGTCTTGGAGAGATCAGGGATACAAGGAACATACCTAAACATAATAAAGGCAATATGCAGCAAGGTGACAGCCAACATCAACTTAAATGGAGAGAAACTCACAGCAATTCCACTAAAATCAGGAACAAGACAAGGCTGTCCATTCTTTCCATAGCTATCCAATATAGCACTCAAAATTCTAGCTCGTGCAATAAGACAACAAAAGGAAGAAGTTAAATATTCACTATTTGCAGATGACATGATAGTGTATATATGTGACCCCCAAAATTCTACCAGGAAACTCCTACAGCTGATAAACACCTTCAGTAATGTGGTGAGATACAAGATTAACTTTAAAAAAATCAATAGCTCTCCTACATACAAATGAGAAATGGGCTGAGAAAAAAATCAGGGAAACATCACCTTTTACAATAGCCACAAATGACATAAAATATCTTAGGGTTAACTCTAACAAAACAAGTGAAAGACTTGTATGACAAGAACTTTAAGGCTTTGAAGAAATAAATTGAAGAAGGTATCAGAAAATGGAAAGATCTTCCATGCTCGTGGATAGGTAGGCTCAACATAGTAAAAATGCCAATCTTACCAAAAGCAATTTACAGATTCAATTCAATCCCCATCAAAATCCCAACACAATTCTTCACAGAACTGGAAAGAGCAATACTCAACTTCATATGGAAAAACAAAAAATGCAGGATAGCCAAAACAATCCTGTACAATAAAGGAGCCTCTGGAAGCATCACTATCCCTTTACTTGAAGCTCCATTATAGAGCTATAGTAATAAAAACAGCTTGATATTGGCATAAAAACAGACACACAGATCAATGGAATCAAATTGAAGACAGACATTAATCTACACACCTATAAACACCTGATTTTTGACAAAGAAGCCAAAATTGTACAATGGAAAAAAGAAAGCATCTTCAACAAATGGTGCTAGCATAACTGGATATCAACATGCAGAAGATTGCAGATAGATCCTTATCCAATGCCATGCACAAAACTCAAGTCCAAGTGGATCAAAGACATCAACATAAATCCAGTTACACTGAACCTGATAGAAGAGAAAGTAGGAAGTAGTCTTGAACTCATTGGCACAGTAGATCACTTCCTAA